TGGGCCAGAATAACAGACTTATTTTGTACTCTGGGGTGATATTTTCTTTCTCTAACGACTTGACAAAAACAAAAAAATAAATTATCTGACTAGCAGCAGCAAAGATATGCAAAGCCGGTGATTAATTTAAAATAATGAAAGAGCAGTGTGTGGGAATACATCGAAAAAAAAAAAAATAGATGAAAACCAGAAATCTCTTTTAATACGGATTGTCAGAACCATTTAGTTTAGGTAGTTTTAATTATAAATCAGAAACTAGGAGTTGAATTGTTTATCTTAGATACAGTCAGTCTCTAGCCATCTATCTAGACTCCACAAAAATCACTAAATAGAAAGAGAGCGATAGAGACTGAAGTGTCTGATTTTAACAAAGATGTTTAGAATAAGGGGATGACGTGAAGGTAATAACTCTGAGGACAATCCAATCAGATCAATTTGTGGCCTTTTAATGCGATATGACAGACTGCAGTGAGACTGCTAAATGAACACGTCCTGGACCATGTCCGAAAGTTTTCTGTGAGGAGCCGCCATCTAAACCTTTTAATGAGCTCACACCTGTATTTAGTGCAGTCATGGCCTACTCGGTTTACCGAGAATAGATGTTGATGACATATGAGAGTGGGGTCAAAGAGCCAAGTTGGTGAGAAGGTATGGAGTGGGTGGTCGAGCACAAACTGCACTGCATCACAACTAGTCGTGATGTTTTCTATTTTTAGGCAAACAAGATCTTTAGGCCGTTGTTGTAAAAATAGACTTAAGTGTATAAATTTATCTAGCTCATTGTTAATAAAAAGAAAAGAAACATAATGTAGAAAGACTCATTTTGACAAGACACCTGGGTAAATTGTATAAGTATACAAGTATACTAATAAGTATACAAGTGATTGTACTCCTTTAAGAAAAGAACCTGCCTCTTGTATTTGTCACATTTCTGAACTCCGATTTTGGTAACTCAAAAACATATTTCTAAAGTGGTTTACATCTCTGAATGTACTCATAATTTTACTGTCACTGAAGTGTTTCGCTTTCTAATTACAGACTGTAAATTGGGTTCTACACTGGGAACAAGTATGTCAGATTTCAAGATGCATACTTTGAATCAGCATTAAAATGGACTTTCAACAAACATAAGTTCAAACCCTGGCTCTTAAATGGTAAAGATCCACTAAATAAAATCTTTGGCTAAACACTTTGAGTGCACCTTTCTTTGGTTTGCCTTCCCAACCTTTAGCCTTTTATTTCTGGGAGATCTCAATGTCTAGTGTTGTCCAAGCTCAAAGGTTATGAGTTATTTAGTGAAGTATTAAAAGATATTCCACCTCTCCACATTGAAATTTGTTTGCCACAGAAATGGATTTAGCATTACCGAGACACCGGACAATGAAATGTCTGAGCTGTGACTTCACATAGTTCTCCTCTATACATGCCCCTAATGTCTATCATGCTGCCTTTGTCTGCATTGTAATCACCAGTTTGCAACAGAGAAGTGGCCTGGTTCATTTACAGTTCATGTTTTCGAAACATTTGTTGATAATTTTGAAGTACTCTGATTTTTATTTGAGAGGCTTGTTGGGGATTTAGCTTTTTTTGTGAATCTTGTGAGCTCATTGTTATGAAGACCTCTCCTGCTGACAAGGCGGCTTTTTAAGCCCCTTTCAAAGATGCACAGCTTTGTATGAACCTGACGACTCACTGAGAGCGTTGAAGCTTTTCAGACTTTTTGCAAGGGTAAAACTGGTGCCGCTGTGAATTCCTGAATTCACTTCAATGGACATGCATGCACAGCAGTGGTTTGTAAACATGACCTCTAATCACTCCCCCAGAGAAAGTAACAAATTGTGTAGCCAACAGCGCCATGCAAACGATAAACATTTTTATTGGATTACCATCATAGCATAGCTACAATAGCTTATGCTTTTCTGAATGTCTGAGAAAATCGTCATAGGGAAATGAGGATCGCATTAAACAGGAATGACTCAGAGAGAGATAACTCTCCAGAAGCATGTTGGAAAAAATAAAAATTAAAAAAAATACAGAAGGAAGCCAACACATGGCTTCTGTAAAAATAAACGACTTGGATAAAACACAAGACAAATCCAATCAAAGAGCAACTGAAAATCTGGAACTATATTTATATACCCAAAGTTAGCATGCTTAAACCATATGAGCAAAACCTAGCAAAATATTAACAAGACATACTACAAAAACAAGGACAGCAAATAAGAGCCAGCCATGAATGCTCAAGCTACTTAGTATGGCCACCAATGATGGCAGATCATTAACAGTTTTCTTGGAACGGTAAGTTGACTCTCTGTCTGTAGCACATTTAGTAGCGTAGACGTGGGGATGGCTGACAGCACTAAGACCTTCTCCCTGGCTCTTATTGGTTGTTTTTGTTGTGCATTTTTGCACAGAAATTTTCCAAATATTCTTTAAATTTGTGGAGATCTGTCACATATGTTCACAAACCAGATGTACCAGATGCATTAAAAAGGTGATGCCGGAATGTCATGCATTTTACCCACATGCTTCAAACTTTGAAATCAAGGCTTTTAGGCTATATTGTGCCTGGGTTACAAAAGTGAATAGACAATGCTGAGCAAGAGTCAAAAAGTTGAACTAAAAAGTAAAAATGTGTAAAGGACATGGAAAATTCAGATTCAGCCTCACTGTGAAGCAAAGCAATACATAAGTATCAGACGAACATTCATCATATGATCCAATGCTCACTGCAACTTTCTGCTGGGTGATATTAATGGAAAGCCTTTTCAGACAGAATGATCTTTAAAAAAAAATACAAAGTGCAACAATTTTGCCTTTATCTCTGAATTAATTTTGAACTCAATTTGAACTGTTAGGGTAAACCAGTCCACCACTGAAGTTAAAAGAACAAAACCGTTTAATTTTCTAAATAAATGCAGTCTGGACTATGTGGAACTCAGCAGTGACTCTCAGTGAGAGACCGGTAAAACAGCAGTCTATCCAGAAGCTGATTGTACCAGTGTTTTCATTTAATCTTAATAATGAAATTCATTTGTTCCACAAGCTTTAAATGAGAAAAGGAGGAAAGAAATGGATGATTGTGCATTTCATATTCTCGCGTTTGATACATATGTTGAATTTTGTGTTTCATTTAAGGGACAAATTAAAATGACAAACAGCAGATTAAGAAAGCCATTTAGTTCTGCTTTGGGAACCAAATGGGAGGGGGGAAAAAAAAACGAATGGTCAGTTTTATGTTTGATTGGGCATTCTCCTTATGAGAAAGATAAAATTAGAGTATTCTTTATCCAACTGGAGTTATGGTTCTGTTCCGTTTTAGGGGACATAATGCATCTATGCCTGTGGTGTATATGCATTATTTAGCCATTTTGTAGGAGGTTTCTGCCATTTACTATCCTAAAGGGCATCAGTTAAAATAAAAATGAAATATTTAAATGAATCTGTAAACTAACACTCAGATGGAAATGATCGGGAGACGCTATACAACAGTTGAAGGACATTTTGTATCACTTCTTTGTCTGTTTTCAGTGGTGTGGAGGGATTTACCAAAAGGCATTTATGTTTACCATCATGACCCAAATTGAGAAAATTGCATGAAAAAAAAGAAGAAGAGAAAAATGCAGCAGGCTGCTGAGAATGAAACCACAGCTTAACAAAGAGTGCTGATTTCACACTGGAGAAGCCAAACTCAGACACAATGTCCATGCACCCAAGACAAAATGAACGATAGCAAAGCTTCCAGCTAAAATTTGAATTCATAAAGTGATAAATATTTGTGCTCCATTTCTAACCAGCAGAACTCAGATTTGAACATGCATGTATTGGCATGTTCCTTTCACCAGAATAGATTGTCTTATATTAACAAGTCATGCAGTGGTTTTGCTAGTTGCTTCTGATTTGCTTCAGTCTGGAGACGTCTTTCAGTGTTTTGCATTGACATAAGAAACATAAAATATAAAACCGCTTTAAGCATTTTCTTAACTTGATTCTTCTAAGCAACCTCTGTGCTCTGGCTGTGTCGTGAGCCATCTTGTTTCCTCATCTTCTTAGTTTCGGGTTTACTCTTCTTTTAGATTTTATATTATAATTGTTTTAATCATCCTGGTCAAAACATGTTTTCAACATTCAAATTCCATTTGTAAAGACACCTTTTGACCTTTTCACCCGTTTCCTTCAAAAGTTCAAGAAAGTCTCTAGCTTATAAGATCTTTGTGGGAAAAATGATTACAATATCCATTTCTGTGTTGTCAATAAGTGGCCACGCATTCCCATTGAATGTTTATTTTCAACAATAAACCATCTGATACTGATAATCCAAATTATTTGTACTTGTACAGAATTCACTATTTTTTTATGGTAAACATTGATTTTAAAATAACCAACTTCCTTTGAAAAACATTGAGAAGTCCATGTTCTTTTCAATTAATAGTTTTTAAAAGCTATAGCTTGTTTTGTGTATATTATATGAACAACTATTGCCTTCCAACTTCTTGCCAAATTTTACGTGTATAGTAAAATCAGATATACGCCTCATAGTTGAATTTTTATTTGTATTAGACAAAACAAAATAAAGTTTCTGATCTTACAAAGTTAACTTTTTTTTTCTGGTTTATTTCTAAAATAAAAGATGAAAGTTGAAGGCATTTCACATTTAATTTCATTCAGAAAGTACTGGTATTATTTCCCCACCTATTCTTACAGCCAAGAGTCCCAACAATGACTCAAATTAAAACTCCCATTAATCCGACAATGTAATCCCTCGACTGCATGAGGCGGCCTTTTCAGACACAGTGTGGATTAGGGAACACTGAGACCCTGTGTTGGTGGTCACCGATGTATAACGCCTCATAAAGATAATATGCTATGCGTGTGTGCGCGTTTCTGTGTTTCCTGCCTCGGTGGTGGTCAGCGCTGTGTAGTGCCGAGGGCTTACGTGTGTGGGCGGATGAGGGCACTGTACATGTGGATAATGTGATTCTTTTCCTCTTTGTGGTTACCTGGTGAAGAGGAAAATCCCTGTGAGGTGGTCTTCTGCCAACGTGGGCCACAATGACAGGGGCCTGTAACAGAGGAACCGGTTAATTATTAAAAAGTGGCCAGTTTGTGATTTGAAGTTTGCAAGAGTACACTTTGTCACAAGTTGTTTCACTTTTGTTTTTATTTGTTCTCCATTCCTTCACCTTACCGTGTCGATCAATTCGTACACATTGTTTTTTTCATGTGGCATCTAAAGAAATGAGAAGATAGCTCAACTTTCTTTTGTTTAACCAAATCTCTTTCTTTGAAATAATAAAAAAGGAAAAAGTTGAATGTCTGCTCAATTACATGGTAGACAGTGATAAACTCAAAAATACCTCTGCTGTTTATAATTCAAAAATCTATGTAGCCACAGATGATCATAAAAATGAATCTGCTTTTCAGTAATAGATTATACTTGCTAGAAATGTTAATATTGCATGTAATCTGGATTCCTTTATACAATTAGTCAGTTCTGTTAACATAAACACGAATTTGGTCCACAGAATTTTAGTCAATGACAGTACTGGTTGATTTCTGCTTTTAAGCAATTTGCAAAGCTTTTTTTTTGTTTGTTTGTTTGCTTTCTTTAGTTTTGGTGGTCAACAAACAGCTGACAAGGAGGTTTACAAAGGGATGAGATTACTTTTTGGGGGACTTTTGATTTCTGAGTCTTTAAAAACACAATTCTATCTAAGACATTAAAGTCCTATGTTTTTAAATTACCACAATTAGCAAACATTTACTGATTACAATGCATTTACTGGTTACTGAATGACACCAAGTCTAAAATTAGCTACAGTTGGCAACTCTTTACTGCTGTACAGAAGATGACAGGTGGAACGAGCTGGTCCTATTGCTCCTTGACCAATTCCATATGTTCAATAGATTTATCACTTTGAAGCTGATTAAACTCTATAGTCCTGGACATTTTGCATCTGCTTTGAATTATATTGTACTTAAAGGGGAACAAAACCATAAGGGGCAACCAGCTGGTTTGATAATATTTAAACAGATAAAATCAAGTTACAAAAGTTATTTTCAGTGGTCAGTTACTATGCAAAATGTATTACCTAACAACTATTGCTATGGCAATTGCATTTTCAAATGGCTCAGCCTCTCGAATCGATAAGCATCTTGTCGTAAGCATTTGTGAGAAGTTTTATGCTTGTGTCTCCTTAGATACAAACCATAGACAATCTGAAATCTAAGATGTATTTGCATTGAGAGTGATTTGTGCAAACTGGGAGGAAGAGGTATAAAAGTTAATGTTCTACTGGATCAGGGATGAAATGAAACAATATTGGATTTTATGAGGTTTTTTTTTTTTTTTTTCTTGTCAAATTCAAATGATTTGTTTTTCCATGTCTGTTAACTAGTAATGTGACTCCCACTTACAGAGAGTTGATGCTGGAGCATTACATACCACCAGTGTATCTTCTGACGTGACAGGAAACAAGCAAAAATTTAACCATTTAATGGAGGTGAATCAGAGTTAGAAGGCAACTTAAAAGTGAATTACTTCTACAACTCCCAGCTGCATTTCACATCTCGTACAAACCTGCCTGTACAAACAGTTTATCTTGTTTAGGTTAACTACTTATAAATTTTATGGTAGATCATCAATATCTTTGTGCTCATACAACACCTCTTGCAACCATTTCTCCTTAAGAAAATCTGGTGTTAATGTTTCCCACGTGCTCGCGAACCCGAAGAAGATCTTGTTCCATCAGGACAGGATAAGTTTACCGAAAAAATATGGATAGGCACGCATAGAGCATCAGGTACATCGCTGAGCAAAAATCTCCCAATCTCCTAAATCTATGTGATTCATTACTTTTTTTTTCCCATGGCAGCCATTACAAATGCATTCTTTCCCTGCTCATGTCTGGACTGCCAGCTTTCATCCTGATGTGGTTATTTCATTTAATCTCTTATCACATCACATCAGCTGTTTAATCACTGCTATTCCAAATTGGATTTTTAAGTTTGTGCAAGAGAAATAACCAACGTTGTTGTGCGTCTTTATCCATTTAAGAAAATTCTAAATATAAAAAAGACATCACCAGAATAATGTTAAACTTGAGCGATAAGTTGTTAATTGGCAAATTTGAAAAAGAAAAAGAAAAAAAAAAAACATTAATCATTGGTCAAATGGCAAATGCTCCTTTCAGTCTTAAACAATTACTCCCATCCTTATTGAAACTGTTCAGAAGAAACGTAATTATATCTTAGAGTGTGTCCAGCACTGCAACACGAACATAGAAAGATTATATAAATCTGATACTGATACTTCAGCAGACTTTTCCAGAGAAGCCCTAAAGTGTAAAATAAAACTGAGTGCCAAAAAAAAAAAAAACATATCATTGTTAAATTAATTAGGTTGATTAATAAGTCAAGTCCCTCATTAATCCATACATTTTAAAAACTGATCTATTAATTCTTTGGCCTAATTTCCCTCTTCAAACCATCCCTCTCTCCAGCACCTTTCCATATTTTCTTTCCCCTTGCCATTTCTCTCGTCATCTCACATCCCAATTTCAGCTAATGAGCCCATGCACAACAAAAATCAAAAAAAGAAAAAGAAAAATCTATACCAAATCACAAACAGCACGAGAGGAAGAAATAGGTGCAGCGCTTAGTCTGTTTGTTAAAGGATTCATCATGTGAGCTGTTTTCAATAAATAATAAATGCAAACGGCAACTTTTGTCTGCAGACGAGACTTTCAGACATGAATTATGCATTGTTATTCTTGGATAGGGCAATACAGGGACAGGATGGCGGTGTATGTATGTGTGTGTGTGTGTGTGTGTTTGAAAATGTGTGGTGCACATATCCTTGAAACAAACTGTGAACACTGCTACTGAGGCTTACAGTCAAGGCATTTATGAGGATACAAAGTTACTGTGATTACTCTGCTAAAGATCCTATTTTGTTGCACTGACATGTGTGGTCTGTGTGCTCAGTTTAGCTCAGTTTGCACTTAACTAAAAATGAATGTCTTTGGTAAACTGTTATTAGTAGCATATTGCCTTACAATTAAGTATCTTTAGTAGTTAGGTAATCAAGAACAGGATGTGTTTGTGTTCATCCAACTTGTCCTTTGTGTAGGAGGAGTGTGAGCACATTTTGTGTGTGCTTTTTTTTCTGCTTTTGCCAACTCTGTAATCATTGTGACAACAATGGAAGCCGCGTTCCCTGTAGACGGGGGAAGATTCCACCAGAAATGCTAAAATGTATGTGTAACTTTTGTTCTCCTCCCTGTACCTCATCTGTAGTCTGCATGAAAAAAGTTGATTGAAAATCAGCAAAAAAGGAGAACAATTACAAAGAGCGGCACCCGTGACGGCAATCATCACTGATCTCCGCTGTCATTTTTTCTCTATGGTAAATAATTCATCAAAAGAAACAAAGGGGAAACAAATATGCAAATAACCCCCCCCCCCCAAAAAAAAAAAAAAAAAAAAAAAAAAAAAAGGGGGGGGGGGGCAGCAACATTGGCCTGCCACCACCAAGGGAGGAATGAGAGTGGCTGATTATTATGGCAGGTTATGAGTGTGATGAATTTGAATTTCTCTTGTTTCATCTACCTTGACAGAACTGAAGTCACACAGACACAGAGGGGAAAAAGGAGGCAAAAAACTGGAGGGATTTGAGGGTTTGATTGAGGAGGGGAAGGAGAGAAGGATAGAGGGATTAGAGACAAGGGGAATGGAAGATTGTGGGGGCGGGGGGCAGTGAAAAGGGGTAGTAGACATCGGAGGGAAGAAGAAAGAGATTTGGGAGGGGATGGGAGGAAAGGAGGGAGGGATGCTCACAGGGTGTATTCGACAGCGCTGTGAAAGGTAGCGATCAAGGGCTTTGATGAAAAGTGCAGGCCTTCTAAGGCATAGGAGTGACAGCATATGATTTGGTCAAAGCATGAAGCCTTTCAAAGGCAGACATTCTCACTCCTATTCATTCCTCTCAGGTTGGATATAACTTTTGGGGCTTAGCTCTGGAAAAATTTCCAAATTGGTTTGACAGATTGGCCGTATGTGGTATTGTCCCTGTGACTTAACAGACAGTAGACTGACTAGAGATGTAGACATCTCGAAATGAAGAGAGGATTATGGGCTGTGCAGTGTCTCAAAAAAAAAAAAAACTGTCCCGGATCAGTTGGTATAGCCGGTGACTATTTTGCTGAAGGAGGTTGCATAAAATATAGACTGGTGGATTTTGATTCAGCGAACAAATCTGCACCAACAGTATAAATGGATAAGAAGGCATACAATTAAACTGCAATTTCACAAAATAAATAAATCAATCAAAAATTAAGTTTCCGAAATCGCAGAGACAAAAAACTTAATCTGGTTTTAGTGTATTTCGCCTGATGACAGAACAGTGACAAGAACTGAGTTTATCACATTTAAACTCGAGGGCAGATAAGTGAATTTTGCCACACAAGCAATGGTGGATGCTGCCTTGGATGCTGAAGCTAAAGCAAATGATACAAATACTGACTATATTCAGTGGTTTACCAGAACAAATCTGCTTATTTTACTTCCAGTTCAGAAAACATTTCCAAAGACATCCTGAAATGAAAAAGCCACTGTAACTATGTGTTTGGGTTTTTTTTTAAGATCGAAATGTTAACCCTGTAACCAGTTTGCAAGCTTTCTGTTGCAAAAGGGACAGATTTTACAACTTTAGAGTTGTTATCACTGACTGACATTTACATTTACAGGTCAGTCAAAACAGGAAGGATCAGCAAGCCAGCCTGATGATGACTGTGTCATTTTGCTGCACACACATAAGTACATTATATTTGAAATAGCCTCCAATTTCATACACCTACACACATAAATGGACATGCATAATTACAATACCGCTCTCACATGTGAAAGCATGTATGTGCACAAAACTGAAAACACATGCCTGCGGTACTCTTGTCTGATAGTGTCGTCTATCTCGCTCTCACTTTCTCTCTCCCTTTCTCTCACACACACCCACACAGAGAGATAATAGTATCTAATTTAGGCTCTGTAGGGTTCTCCAGAGGACTGCACTTCATCAGGAATATACTGGTGACCTACATACTACAGTAGGGACAGAGGCACACACCAGCATAATAATTGCATACGTTTCCACACTCAAACACAAATCTACAGCACATGGATCTGCATACACACACACACACACACAACATTGGGTCTGTACAGCTTAAATGTTACTGTGACAGCAGGAGACACTTAATTCAAACAGGACAGTATGTATCTGAACGCTATTTCGTTCATATGTTTCTTTTAGCAACAAACATCTAGAATAAATCTAGAATAATTGCTTTGAACAGATGCGACCAATAAACCCCCAGTATTTGGGGGCTTAGTGATCCCAGCTGATTGTGAATATTTGAGATCAAAATATCCTTTAAAAAAAGCTGCTAACGCCTGAACTGTACTTGAGCTAAGTTCAGGTCAATACAAAAAATAAAAATTAATTATTTATATTTTTATACGTATATATATTTCAGAAGATACAAAAGACTTAAAACCAGTTTTGCCAAAGGCTCTGACTAGCAGGTCATGGCTTCAATGACCAATTAACTACCAATGAAAGTACTACAAGGACTTTGAGAAAGTAGAAGCCTAGTTTATCAGGTCAAATCAAATACTGGAAAGAAGACTTTCCATTTCATGATAATATTACCTCTTAGCTTCTGAAGCTACAAAGTAACCCTTTAATCTTAAACACGGTTTTGAGTTTTTTGTTAAAGCCAACGCGTTTTTAATGACAACGTCTAGATATTTGTAAGTCCTGGTTACAGATCATTATCCACTGACTTGATTCACTGGGAAGAGAAATAGGCCCGGAGCTAAAAGCTAAATTTGGGTCTTGATTCAACCTGGTAAGTTAAAAATATTGATCTGCGATACCATGATGTCACCTTTATATCCCAGGGAGACAATTTAAAGTCCCCTTGACAAATGTAAATGGCAGAAAAAATTCACATTTATTTTGTAGAAACAGTTTGGTGTGCCAATAAATTGGGCAATTGTGCTTTATATTAAAACAATTGCTGGGGGTTTTACCCACTAAAATACTCTAACATTGTATTTTTTTTTACATTCTGAAATTATGCCACAATAACAAAATCTTAAATTTTGTGCTGAAAAAACTACTTAAATTAAGTCTTATATATATATATATATATATATATTATTTTGTAACATAGAAGAAGCAAAAAATAAATAAATAAATAAATAAATAAATAAATAAATAAATAAATAAATAAATAAATAAAAAACAGATAATATGCATCCCCATCTTTTTGTGAGCAATTATGTGGTTGCAGGTTGTAGCTTTTCTAAGCTTCTCTTCAGACAGTATGAGCACTAAGTTTCTGGGTGGGGAAAACTGGAATTACCGTATCATTGCCTTATAATGCATTCAACTGGCACCAAGAAGACATCATCCATCATTCATGGGCATCATCTGTCAGCTTTCTGGTCCACTAAATGTCCAAGACCTGAGGCAGAATTGCAAAGAAAAAAAAATCCAGTTAGCACACCAGAAGGCCTGACTCATGCACAATTATCAAATGCTAAGAAAAAGATTCAATTCAAGTTGATGGCAAAGTGTTTTACTGAAACCGGAACCATTATATAACACTGAACTTATAAAGTGAATATAAAGTGAATGTGGTATATATATATATAAACTAGGCACATCTTGAAAGGAGTAAAAAATATAAACTGCAGGTTAATGAGGCATCTGTATATAAAATATCTGAGAGCAGCGATTTATTGGGACCCGTCTCAATAGCAGATTTATAAATGGCTAAAAGATTGTGACTCATACACAGTGTTGGTTTGAAGGAGAACGAACTGAGGTCAGGACCACAACTGATACAGAAATAGACATTTGTACCAGCATGGATACACATGAACTATTTTCATGTTTATGGGTGGTTAGAGAAACTTGGCTTAATGATAAAGGACCTCACTCATACATAATGGTGTCTTTATTTAGCGTCAAGGCTAAAGTAAATAAGCAGCTGCTGGATGATCTCCCAAAACAAAACTGAAGCCAGACTTTTTGTCTAGATGATAAACTAACAATAAAAACAAATTCAAATGCTAACGTTTAGTCACAAGTAAACAGCAACGAAAGCAGATGAATGTCTGTTTGGCGTCTTATTATATAGATAACATGTGATCAATATTTTAAAAATACTGCCGATTCATTATTTAAAGGAAAGTTAATAAAACCATAGACATAGACATAGACTTGGTTTCTCTCCCTCTAATGTATGAAACAGATCACAATACACTGACTTGTAGCTCCTCTATTTTTAAAGGCTCCAGGGCTTCGTTTGAAATTAAGACTTACTTCAAATAAATTGCTTAAAATATCTGAAGCACAAACTTGGTCACCACTTCAGAGGTGTCAAACTCATTTCCTCTTGTCTAAATCATGAATGTCCTCTAAAGGCCGGTCGGACCAACGTGTATTGATTAAACCTATTAACAAGCCTGTCAAATATTAATAAATAGCTGCCTTTGTCTTCGATGAGTACTGTCTACAATTAAAAACATTGATCCTGTTTTCACATTGATGAAATTTGGCAGAATGCAGATTTTTTTTTTTTTTTTTTTTTTACAAATAATGGTTTTATTCATAATTCTTCAGCAAAGAACAAGTGAAGCTGGATTTTAATAATGTTTCTAGAATGTGAATTAATCTCTACATTACAAAAACAAATCTTGCTTAAAATTCACTAGTGACTCAAAGCTGAGAGAGTTGTGGCGACAGACTTTTCCAGCCGCATGTCAGCTTTTAAAAATCAACATCTGAGTTTAATCATCATGACGGCTGCTTACGCCACAGTGCTGATTATCAACAGAGAAAGAAAATTCAATTCCACACGTTTGTTTCAGGGTTTCACTGCTAAACTTTATAAAACTCCAAGCTCTGAGAAGTAAATAATACTTCTTCGCAGGTTATCTCGGACATTTTCACATTAAATCTTCTCAGAAACTGATGACTAATAGATTTAACGTCTTAAAACCGTTTAATTGCAGTGTATGTGCTGAGTGTTTCCACATTTCCACATATCCATCACTTTGATCTTGAGAACTAAAACTTTCCCAAGTGTGGATCATACAAAAGATAAAAATTAGATGGGGCATCATAAAGTTAATAGCATTCTCTTGCATTGTGGGTATAAGCTATAAGAACCCCACAGCTGTTGGTAAATGTGTTAAACTTTAAAGAGCTGGCAGACTGAAAAAGAAATAATCACTATTAAGAATTTTGGTAAAGAAAAAACAAATTTGATTCAAAATTTTGGTAAGTTTTTCCTTTGACGTTTTCCAAAAAGAGTGTTTTTTTTTTTTATGGACAGGAATAAAAGGTCTATAAAGTTCACTTTAAACATAAATGCCACTTTGCTGATTATTTTTCGCCACTATTCACAAGAAGTCTGTTTTTACCAATTCAAGCACATTCGATGATTTTTGCTTGCGTTTTGTTGCTGTATATATAAGGATTTCATTACTTCCATAAATAGCTTAAGTATACATCTTTTTTTGTTCTTTTCTGTTTACTTTTTTACACAATGCAAATGTGCAACAGCATATTATGAGAGTAGAAATATAAAAGGCACCGAGAAAAGTGCATGGGATCAGAATTGGACGATGCTCAGCTTGATCTGCCACAACGAGCAACCGGCCAGTTGGAAGCTAAAAGAATTCAATCTTTTATTGATCAGCAAACGCACTGAGACTAAGTGCTTCCAGGTCGCAGCTACAACAAAACTCTTTAATGTGGAAGATCTTAATGCAGGGAGGAGACTCAGTTAGTTCTTTCTTTTTCACTAACAGAGGTTTTAGAAAATGAAGTTAAAGAAACCACAGCGATGTAAGAGGCTGTTTCAAAAGAAACCATTTTTTATGACTTCACAAGATGTTTGTAATTTATTCAGGCTGTCTCAAAAGAGAGAGCAAGACGAAAGGCAGGTAACAGGAAGGCTGTGGAGTAGAACAAAATTGATTTGTGTAATCATTTTGATCTCTCAGCTTTATTTCTTATGGACGATCCACAACTTAAACAGTAAACTCTGTTATTGTGTTCATAAACAGTAAATCGGGTTTTACAGCAGCTGTTCTCTCAAACATGCAGTTTTAAGACACCTCTGTTGCCAATATATAAAATAATTCAGTCAAACTCATAGCAGAAAAAAAAATCTATTCATGTCTCATGTTGTTCTGAAAGAAAAAACCTGGAATTGGCAAAAATCTGTATTAGCAGGTCAAAAGCTTCACAAAATCCAAAACTCATTTACTAGCCACAAAACCCATCATATCTTGGTTAAAAGGTGTTATTGGAAATTTAAGAGGACTAAATGTGAAACTCTGACAGATGGCACAGAGACAGAGGAGGGTAAGTTCAACAAACATTTTGCCACTGTAGAGCTGAGGCACTGTTACGTAAACCAAAATTAAACATTCATCGTCCTAAACTAAATCCAATTCGCGGATGACCTATATCTTGGATCGGACAAACCCATCTTTACTTCCTTAGACAGAGGACTTTAGTAAGCCTGTATGAAGCCCAAAGAGAACACAAATACAGACTGTGAGGAGACGGGGAAAAGGACGACCTTTATTCTCATGAACTTAAAACTAATGCCGTCAAAGCAACTGCGGCTGTAGTTAAAGTCTAAGTAGAAATATGAAGTGGGATTGTTGGGGTTGAAGGGAGAAAATGAAGGACAAAGAAGGAAGTACATAGGGAGGAAGAGAGAGGAATGAGAGAAGAAACGGGGATTAGGCAATAAAAAGACAGATGAGATCAAGAGACAGTTCTGACACGCTCAGGCAGCAAACGCTCTCTGTGAGTCTGGGAGCAGCTGAGCGGAGAGCTTACACACCCACACAAACACACACGCTCTCATGAACAGTTGTGATGTGGTTTGCTGTAACTTTGTGCCTGACTGGATGTATATATGAGATGTTTGGAAAGGGGCTGCACTGTAGGAAGTTAAGCCAAATCCCCAACACCACACCCCACCAACATGAGGAGAAGGGGGCTTTTAAGGACTTTGAGCTTCTGTTGTGGTTTCTTTAATTCTCTTCCTCTGCTTTTCTTTCTTTTTTTCCATCCAACTCTCACTCCATTTCTCTCCTTGCTGTCTGTTTCTCACTCTACTTCTCACAGGCTGTTTTTCAGCATCTCTCTCTCTCTCTCTCTCTCTCTCTCTCTCTACAGGTTTTTGTTTGAGGCAATACAGTCATGAATAACATTTGCAGTGATCTAAACATGTGATCATGATTATATGGTGGATTTAAAGAAGCTTGTGAAAATGCCCTTAGATTCATAAAGTAATTTCAGTCGAGATAAAGGGAGTACAACAGAAGGTTTAAGGCCTTTGCGCAAATAAACGAGCCACTAAATACCTAATGAAGAAAATGATCAGCTCAGCTTTACAAACAAGTTAAGAACCTGATCTTTAAGGGATGTTAGAGCTCATATACTTTAACACGATCACATGAGGAGTTCATATAATGCCCGTAATAAGTATAGGAACCTCCTGTAAGACAAACCACATTACTCTGTGATGATGAGGTGGTGGGCTTCATGGAGGTTTGGGGCTTCTGTTGTGGTCGCTTTGTTCTTCATTGCTGTTTTACTTTTTTCTCTTTTTTCAGCAGATGATCACAGGATTCATCATTACTCAGTGTCTTTTACTTGGCTCCCCCCAAATCCCTTCATCTTTGCGCAGAGTCAGATTTCATCGCACTTCAATCATTTAAGTGTGTGCATTCGGTAGAGCTTCATGTTGGACTTATTTTCTGTGATTACACATCATGCCAGTGGGATATTCCTAGAGTTGTAATGATTATGTTACCTCAGGAGATGATACACAATACTGAGTTCATGAGTGCAATGTCAGATTTTGTTTTTAAAAATCATGACTTGTTCTTTGTAAACGCTGTAATCAATGTAGAATACTCTAGTCAAGTGTATTCAAGGGCAGTCTATTATGGTTTTCAAGCTTGTCTCAGTCCAAGGCCATGTTCACACAGCAGCCTTTTATGCTAAATTGTGATTTGAAAGTGGTGAAAACTTCACCAGTCCCAGCATACTGTAAGTGTTGAAAGCCAACCCAACCAGAAGACTTTCGTTTGTCAACGATGCAAACACAACAGAGGAACTTAAGATATCCTCTTACTGACAAATAAAACTCTCCAGCATCCATGTGGGCATTCATCTTTAAGAAGTTGGATGCTGAGATACAAACTACATAGTGCTTCCTAAGATAGATTTTACTTTCCGACGAGAAATACTGTGATGTTTCAAAATCGCTAAATCTTCTCAGACGTGTTATTCCTCAATCCCTTTTAATGATAACACTTGTACAGAACTCAGCCAAACAGTTTTTGACTTTATCACCAACCATGAAGGCCAAAAATTTTGATTCACCACTTGCTCACCCAAGTTTATTTTATCATGCTCAGCGGTATT